ACGTTTCGGCGAGACAACAGCGCCATCATCAGATTTAAAATTTACACAAACTCATAATTGGTAAACATTACGTTCGTTTAGGTCTTTGCAGAAAAGACCTAAAGAACGTAATGTTTACCAATTATGAGTTTGTGTAAATTTTAAATCTGATGATGGCGCTGTTGTCTCGCCGAAACGTAATGAAATAAACAATGTTTCAACATTTTTACTTCACACTTGAAGAAAATAATGCAGACAAATTTAAGGTTTCAAGAAGGCAAAGACCTAAAAGAACGTTGATTTTTACCAATCATGAGTTTGTGTAAATTTTAAATCTGATGATGGCGCTGTTGTCTCGCCGAAACGTAATGAAATAAACGATGTTCAACATTTTTACTTCACACTTTGACTGAAACCCAGGAAAGATAGGAATATAATAACAATTACACGCAGTCAGGAAAATAAACGATATTATTGATCGACCAAAACCCAAAAGCATTTTTTCCTGGACGCGAAGGTTTCTCAGGAATCTTTTGTCGATTATTTTCGACCCAAAACAAGTAATTCTTTATCTCCAAAACCTCTGTGCGCTTCATCCGCAAAGATGATTTTTTTTCCAATTTTCGACTAACTTCAAGCCCACTCTGCAAACAAATGATGCGTTTGATGGTCAGAAGCTTCAGTTCTTGCGTCAACACCCTCTTGTAAGGACCAACACCCTCTTAGAGCATCAATATTTCGGTCAATTCGTGTACTTTGACCTCGAATAGACTTAGTTTCGTGTAAACTTCAAGCACGGAAGGACGATTATGTCGTCCATAATTTCCATGAGACGAACGATTTTCTTGATGGAACTCCGTACTTCAGGGAGAGGTTGGAGTTGTTTAAGCACATGGCGCTTAACTGCTCTGAAGCAGGAGACGCGCCTCTTTTGCACTGGAAAGCACGCAACTACCTTAAGTAACATGAAGTTGTAGGCGGATCTTAGGGGGCCAGCAATGGAAGAAGCCAACTTCATCCGTTTCACTTTACGTGTATGAGACAAGGTGGACACAATTTGCTAATCTGCTTCTTGTTGTTTCAGGGAAAAGATGGCACAGGAAACCTTCCTTGGAACATGATAGCATTCAACTTGCGCAAACCAAAGTACAACCGAGTGAAATTCAAGCTCGCAACTCCCTGCCTTACATCGAAACCATTCCGAGCAATAAGCCAGACTAAGAAGCGACCATGTCTAAACGACTGATCCTCATCATCGACCTGGACACGATAATCGCGTTCTTCGACGACGGGCCGCATCCGTTCAAGCTATGATAGCGACCAGATCCTCACTGCTCCTCACTTCCCCCGTCACCCGATAAAATGTCCAGTTCGAAAAAAATCGTCTTAATCCTGGCAGTACTTTGTGTCCGAGTCAGCACGGTGGAAGAGATCCGATTCGCACGCGGCATGAAAGGCCCTTTGCATGGCAGAGCGTATTTTGCCATTGCGGTGCCCTCCTCCGGCCAGAGCTTCAGTCGAGCGTTCAACAAGACCCTCACGAACATTACTCAGAACCATTTCTTCGGCTCGGTCGACCGAACTCACTACAACATCAGCTTGGAGCCGATGGTCATCGAACTGCCGGACAATGGCACCTTCAGCGCCGCCTTCTTGCAGCACGTTTGCGACATGTTCGAGGGCAAACACATCGTGGCTGTTTTGGTCATCGGATCCACTCCTGCAGCCTTTACAGTCAGTTTGACTGCTCGACATGTGGGCATTCCGGTTCTGTGGGCTCAGGGCCACACGGAGTTTTTGCCTGGCTTTCGAAGTCTGGTAAGTAACCATTTTGCTTTGGAGCGCATCGGCGCTCAGATTTTCTCCTGCAGGACTGATGGACTTATGGACATTGAATACACAGCGGGAGCAGGTTGTACAGGTGGGATAAACGGTTATTTCTCGGTAACAGGTTACAACGTTCCAGTTCCACGTTGGTAATAGGTTTCAAAATGCGGTTCCAAAAGGAACATGTTACTTTTAACATTTTTTATTAAGGAAGCGCAATGTTGATGATGGTAGAAATAGTTGACAGTGTGACAAACAATGGTTTAGTTTATTAAAAAAATTATTCTTAACTAAAGCTCTTAGATACCGCCAGCTTACCACTAGAACTAAACAGTAATTCTTGTAAACGAAAAGTGATAAACCCAATAATCAAGATAAGAAACACGCCACTATACAGGGTTATTCACGCTATACGGCACGGAAGTTTGCGGCTAAACCGTTTGATTTTGAAAAAGTATTATTTTATCAATTGTCCGACGCCTACCGAGCGCACATTTTAGTGTCCCAAAGGCTCTAAAGGTATCAAAGTTTTTTCGGGTTTATGAGACGGTTCCTCACACAACCGGCTAAATCTGCTAGCTGTAACTACGGTTTCAGGTTACACGGTTGTAACAGTGTTATTTTAGCGGTTACGTTAAATACCGACTATCCCTAGTAGGGATTAGAGAGTTTTTAGGCCGCTTAAAATTACGTTGGCCTTAATCGCTAAACGTTATTCTAATCATGCGCAGTGTCGAAAAAATAAAGTGTTCAGACAAGTAACGTTAAGTGCGTTTTTTAGTTTTTGATACCGTGTTTGTCGCCCTCTTAATAAAACAAACCTCACTTTATTGTTCTCCTAGATCAATATTTAATAAGAGGCTTAATTTTACACGACATCTTGGACCCTCCTGCTGTTGCCGACCGAAGAGCTATTTTGAATTTAGAAAATATAGAGCCCAGACATTGCCTTATCAATTTTAGGTTTCAGAAGAAACATATTAAATAAAAATTGAAAATCAAATAGTTCGGTTACGGGTTAGAAGTTAGAACCTGTCCGAGCGATGTTAGTGGTGTTGCCAAAGTTCAAATTTGCCTAAACAATTTTAACATAAAATCCGTAATTACGCAATAATGGCGTAAATTAATCAACGAAGAAGTCTTATATGGATTTACAATAGATTTCTTACTGTATTATAGCCGCTAATTTTATTAATAATAGTGGAAATAAGCCAAATATGTCAACACCGTCCTTCTGCTTTTTAACGTGATGCTTATTAACGTTACCGCTACTCGGACGTAATTAAAGGAACACGTTATCCTCTAATAACGCAACCGGTTATTTCTTTACTATTGCGCATACTCAGGATAACCCGTTTCGTTGCCCGAGAAACGCCAAACATTTATCAAATGTGCGCCAATAGCAACATAAAGCAGAATTTTGGCCTTGTTTCGCGTCTCCTGCCGTTCCTGTTCGAACCCATATAAAGGAAACCTCTGGAGAGATAACGGGAGATGTGAGTTTGCGACCTGAGGCTCTGTGAGCTTTAAGTTCTGACCCCAATTTCCCAGTTTTCTTAGTTTCCACAGTAAGTAATAGCCGGTCATAAGCGTTTTGGGGCTGTAAACTCGAGGAAATTTGGCTGATTGTTCCGCGAAAAGCGTTTCCTTGCTCTGGCGCAGTGATTCCTCAAAAAGATAGCTAGAGAGACTCTAATTAGATCCACTGAGTGTTAAAGGGAAGGGTTTGAAAGGGCTCATTTAGCAGCGCCTAAAAATGCAGCTCTTGCCTCGGTTCCTTCGGATTTGGCTTAAAGAAGCAGGTCAGACAGACGGATCGTTGAGCTCGCTGTTTTGGAGCTCATTTATTTAGCCTGCTAATGCATTTCTCTGTCGATATAAATTTGGGAGATTTATGGCGGGCCCCAACGCAAGCGGATCCGGTGGAAAAACCGTCCTGACCCACTTTGGCCACTGCTTGGGAGGGAGACTGAGGTTCGTTTTCAGGCTAATTTTCGCTGCACCAAGCAGGAAACTTTAGCTGTCTGTAAATCTCTAATTGCGTGCATATCAGGATGTCTCTTGTCCGGATTTGGGAGGAAAAACTTGCATATTTGTCACATACTTGGTGGAAAAGAACCGCATGGAGTTGCTACACTCCCAGACTAAGCTACAGCAGGAGATCCACCTACAAGCCAGATATTTTAGCTGTTTAAACAGGAGTTTTCGGGGCGAATTAGGTGGCAAAGTTCAAAAGCAGACTTCGGTATCCCGATTCTTACGGGAACAAGCTCTTTTAGTCYAATGCAAAATTTCAATTAAAAACATCAGYTTTTCGTGTCAAGAAGTGTTCACCAAACTGGAGAGTTTTTCAGACTGGAAACTTCAGGACAAAACCATTTTTTCCACAACGGATCGTCAGTTAAATAAAAAATTGGAAACTCCACAAAAACACATACATATTTGATAAGATTCGACACAAACTGATAGACGTGAAAATTAGATGCATTCCATAAAACATGTCCCCAGATCGAAAAAGTTTTCGCGAAAACTTTGGCGTTTGGGCAATAACTGAAATTCTTCCCGCAATAAAAGTTCGCTGGTTCGATGTGAAGCGAAATTGCAACTAAACTTTTCGCTGACGTCTTATTTTACTCACTGTTTTATCGGGAAAAATTGCTATTTTTCCTGCAGGTTTTGGTAATTAAAATTCAGTACAGCCGTCGCTCTTCGAGCTCCAGTTGGGGAAAGTTGGAAAACCACAGCAGCCAGCCACTAGCTAAGTTTCGGGSTTTTTTTCACTGTTGGCGTCTTACGAACGAATGAAATTTCCCACTTAAGAAATTGAYGAAGTTTGAGCGCAKATATCTCSAGAACTGTTTAAAATATCTGACYAATWGTCAGAAYATTTTCGATAGAGCTTTAGATTTGTTATTTCSTATTTTTTTCCAAAATTCSTAACTCATCGAACGTTGAACGGACATTTTTCMAKTYKTSCGRKGCTGCAGAMGTTTAACAGTTTATTTCTCAGAAACGGGTRAWAATGCGTAAATAATCTTGAGTACTGTTCCGATAAAGCGTCTCAAGATCTCTTTGCCCTTCCCAKGATTTCATCATCAGAAACTTCTAACCTTTAAAATATTTGGCATAAGCCGAGAACTTCATGAATTCTGGAGCATTTTCATGGGTATTTCGGAAACAGTTTAGAACATTTGAATATTTTAAAGGATCAGTGCTTAGGATTGAACAAAAATTCCTAACCTGTTAAAGGATAGAAGTCAAATTGTCAATTTTTAGGGGTTGAAAGAGTTTAAGGGCCTGAATCTCACAAACGGTTAAAAATGCGCGGATAAACACCAGGAACTTTTCGATAGTGCATCTTGAGAACTAATTTTTCGTTTTTGAGGTTGGGAAATTTCAAAAATATGGAGATTTACAGGCAAAAATTGCAAAAGCKTGYGAAWAGTTTTATTCATGACTGGAACAACGTTGGAAATGTTGMAAKATTGAAAGGTTCTGTTACTTTAATGTTGCTTAGCTAGTAAACATTCTCAGTGGCGATTTTGATGACGTTGCCAAATTTCTCTAGGTATCCCAAAATTTTGGCAATTCTAAATTTGTTGGTTACATAGCTACATTACAAAACTTGTTGTTGAAAAAATCCCTAAATAAAAATTATTTTTGATGCAAAAATGCATGGATAGTTACTATGTGGTCTCGAACAAACGTGTTTTTAAAAAACGACTTTATTGAAGCGAGTACAGGATGAGAATGAATATAATCTTGGGCTTGCATGTTAAGGAAAACAATCTTAAACAATAGACACTAAGATGCTGAATTGCGTCTGGCTGAAATGCAGTCTTAGTGATAAGGCGATTGTAACTGGATTCAGTAGCTTCAAAGCCACACATTGCATAATTTTTAGATTCAAAAAATGTCTCAACTAGCGATTCAAGAATGCTGACAAGAAAATATTGTTTATCTTCACTGTGGTAAAATTCTGACTTTTTTCGCACCTTTCAACCTCCTCTATAGCCGCAAGTTAAAGAAAGTAAAGCGAATCGTCCAAAGACACGAAAGTAACACAGGAAAATGATTTAAACCGGCAAAAGAGTGAGTTGTACGGGCCCGATACACTTGCGGGGAACTCAATTTGGAATAGGAATTCTGGCGAAGTTTTATTTTTCGCAGATAAATTCTGGCTCCTTTGTGTATTGTTCTCATATGTGCTGCGCCGTGATGTAAATGGGAGCATCTCGCATATGGTGTATGAGAAATGGCGTTTTTATTCAATTGGTTAAGTTTCGGGTTTGATTTTATTTATGTCATTTACCTAAGGGAAACAGTCCGATCAGCCAAAGTTCCCGGAACATGGAGAATAAATCTGAACCAGGCCCGATCCACGGTGGCTAAACTTTTGTTAGGGTTAAATTTAAGGAAGAATACGATCGATGCAAAATTCAATAGTTTTAATGAACGCCTTGCACCATCACCATCAAATCAATAATAATCCATCGCCCCTGGCAACCACCCCTTCCAGGGATGTTCTGTGTTGTTGCCCGGAAGTACCGCCGCGCCGTCTCCTGTCACAGCCAGGAAGTAGCTATGTTGCCACTCCGTCCTGGGTGTCTCCCGCCTACCAGTGTTGCCGCTCTCGCCGTGGTTGCTCCGTTTTCCCAGGTTGCTTACACTTTTTTAACTTTCCTAATTTGAATTTCCTTTGGCGACTTTAACTTTGTCTCTTCCCACGAAGACTAAAAACTGACTAAAACCAGGCACTTTCAGCTAATCCGCACATAATTGCCGCATTAAATGCGGTCGACATGCAACTTTCAGCTATAGCGGATTAATTGCAGGACATTTACGATTGCGGATTGTGAAGTTAGGAACCGACTTTTTAAGCCAAAGCTCAAATTAAGTGCTTCCCAAGCTCCCGGCATTAAATTAACGAGGAAACAACTGCAATATTCGGGATTATCGTGCTTAATTGCATTTTGTTGTTTCAGCAGATT